ACATTCATATTGTTTAAATATAAATATTAAATATAAATATTGTTTATGAATCAAACGGCGCCATAACATATCGCAGGCGTTGAGTCGTCTCATCACAGGCGTTGAGTCGTCTCATCACAGGCGTTGGGGCATCCGAAATCCCCGTGAGAGGCTGGATACAAAACTGGACCTGACGAACGCCATTTTTCTCGGGACAAGCGTCCCGAGATAACAGCAGAAAGGCAGATGGGAAATAATTAGCATAGCTGATGTTCATAATAATTTCCGTTATAAGTAATACCTCCGTTTTATCTGAATTTAATAGCAGGAAATTACGCGTCATCCAGCATTTTATATCTTTGAGACACTCTGTCATTTTAGATGAGTTAGTGTTTTCATCTGGTCGTGATGAAATATATAATTGAGTGTCGTCAGCGTAACAGTGGAAATTAATTCCATGTTTTCTTATAATATTACCAAGTGGCAGCATATATATTGAGAATAGCAGAGGGCCTAAAACTGATCCTTGCGGTACTCCATAGTCTACTGACGTTATCTTTGATTTTTTCCCATTTAAACAGACAAAATGAGAACGGTCCGATAAGTACGATCTAAACCAGCTTAATGCCTGTCCCTGGACACCGGTGAAGTTTTGTAGTCGATCCAAGAGTATTATATGATCTATAGTGTCGAACGCAGCGCTAAGATCAAGTAGGACTAGTATTGAGATACAGCCTTGGTCAGAAGCTAAAAGTAAATCATTTGTAATTTTAACTAGCGCAGTTTCTGTACTATGATGCGGTCTGAATCCTGACTGGAATTTTTCATAGATATAATTTTCTTGCAAAAAAGAGCACAATTGAGCGGACACTACTTTTTCAAGTATTTTGGACATAAATGGAAGATTTGAAATGGGTCTGTAATTTGCCAAGTTATTTGGATCTAATTGTGGTTTCTTAATGAGCGGTTTTATTACAGCCAGCTTGTATATTTTTGGGACATGACCTAAAGATAAAGACGAGTTAATAATATTGAGGAGAGGCTCTTCCACTACAGGTAATAGTTCTTTCAGTAGTTTAGTGGGTATTGGATCTAATAAACAAGTTGTTGGTTTAGATGCAATGATAAGTTTATTTAGCTCCTCCTGTCCTATCGTTGTAAAGCGGTTTAGTTGTTCTAGAGGGTCCATAATTGAAGCTGAATCATAAGACACCATAGCGGATTGTACATTTATAATTTTGTTTCGGATGCTTTCTATTTTCGCATTGAAGTAATTCATAAAATCATTACTACTAAACTGTAAAGGTATATTTTGCTCTGGTGATGTCTGTTTATTTGTTAGTCTAGCCACGGTGTTAAATAAAAACCTTGGATTATTTTGGTTATTTTCGATTAGTTTGCGGAGATGCTCAGCCCTGGCTGTTTTTAATTGTGTCAGTCATTAATTCTGTTGTCATAACAACAGAATATAGTATTAATTGTAAGCAATCAGAATTAATAGCCTTTGTATTTAATTCAGTCTGGACTAAAAAGACTATCCAGTGTTATTTTACATTGGATTACTTTATTCAGTTTCTGTAGTATATCTGACATACCCAAAAAACTACCCCAAAATGTCTCTTAATTTTTGTCTTTATTCTATTGTATTTATTTGTGCTACTTTTTTCAATTTAATTCAAAGATTGAAATCAAGCATCCATACATAAACTCTTAAAAAAAAATACATTAACATTTAGGTAAGATCAATGTAATTTTTTAAAAATATTTATATATTTATCTATCTTAAACATAAAATAACATGATACTGTTTGATCAAGCTGTGCGACTGTTCTGTGCGACTGTGCGACTCTTTTTTGCATATTGCATCAAAATCTTTGTATGCATTTAGTGTACCTAAAATAAAAAGTGTTTTATATAGGTTTATGGCTCTTAATTTTCTTGTATTAATTAACCACTAGTAAACTTATGTCCACTGTTCTTTTATATAAATTATAAATATAGGATTTTTATTACATCTTCATTATAGTTGAATCGAGAATCAAATCAGGAATCGAGAATCGAAAATCGAATCGAGAATCGAAATCGAATCGAACTGAGAGCTTGCGAATCGAAATCGAATCGAAATCGAAATGTGAATCGATACCCAGCCCTAGTACTGATATGCCTCTCCCTCGAAAGCAAACCGAAGAAACGGTCTGTGTCGAGGTAAGATGGAGACATGAAAGTACGCGTCCTTCAGGTCTATCGATGCAAACCAATCCTCTAGCCGGACAACTTTCTAATTGACACTCATTAGCTAGGACCCACAGAAAGTCAGATATGTTTGTTTGAATGTAGAGAAAATCTCAGAATTTTGCCAGTCTCTCTGTGTGAGTGAGAGGAGGGGCGCCTGTCAGGTTAATTTTAACCCTTTATTTGCTGTGTGCGACTTCTCTGGCATTTTCGAGGGCCTTAACATCCTCTAAAACTCTTGAAACTTTGCACACAGGTCAGAACCCATGGCCATCAGGGCCGGGCTGAAGCTGGTAACCGGGCGTCGCAGGGCGGCTCGACAGCGCCCCCTGGACTGGGATTCGAACATTTGTCCATAAATCAAACACACTTGCATGAATTAATATGAAACTCGGTACAATTAAAGATCACATCAGGCCAAACAACTTTCGTGCTCTAAGTTTTACGACAGTTCAAATGGAAGTTGGGAATTATGGGTTGTTTGAATAATTCTCCTAGGAGAAATACATCAAATTACAACGCATGTGTTTACCAATCACAACCAAACTCGGTGTGCATGAAGTCAAGACATTGAGGATGCTCAATTCCGGACGGATTTTTGATATCTCGAACGGTCTGGCCGTGGCGAGGAAATGAATTTTATGACTAAAAAAGGACACAAAGTGTATTATAACTTTGCTCATTTTACCTACAGTTACAAAACTTTCCACGTATATTGTTCTCGTCAAGCCGATCAACGTTCCAATTTAAAGTCATTCGCTCTGAGCAACAGAAAGTCAGATATTGTAGTTTGAATGGATTTATTTCCCCTGCGATTCTCTCTCTCTCTCTGTGTGTGGGTGTGTGTGTCTGTGTGGGGAGGGCTGTTGTCTGTGTTTATGTGTGTGTGTGTGTGTGTGTGTGGGGGGGGAGGGGAGGGCTGTTGTCTGTGTTTATGTATGTGTGTGCCACACAGTGTGGCTGGCTGCGATTTTTCCTATAAGTCCTTGTCTCTAAGTCCTTGTCTTTTTGCATAACAATTTTGTATTTTTTTTAAAATGACAAAATAGGCATATAACCCCCATCTTTTAAATGTATAGTTTGCTTTAAATAAAAGTAAGATTGTATTTGTAATTGAAGCTGAATGAATTTAAAATTCTTGTGCTATATTTCAATATATTTGTTTTCCTTAAGATTTTAAAACACTAACTTCATTCTTATCTGAATTACAAATATTTGTTTCTGTATAAAATAATACTCTGACTAAAAACACATTTGATGTTTCTTTTTGTATTTTTATTTACATGTATTTATGTATGTGTGTGTGTGTGTATAAAGTGCAGAGTTTTTTTTAGCTAAAGTAGAATTTCTATAACTATGTGTTGAACTAATAAATCACTCTTGTGTGTGTTAAACACAATCTACTTAATACAGACAACTTCATTATAAAGATAAATAACAAATCCAAAAAAATATATGATTATAATCTATGACAAAAAAAGCCATTACAAACTATATTAGTGGTAAATACACATTGCTTTTTGTATTGTTGTAAAATACATTCATGAAAAAAAAGATAACAAAAATCAAAAAGATAAATTATTTTAGATAGAGCCATCGTATGGCTGCTATAAAATTGAGACAACATGTTTTAAATGTATAGCAGAGATGTTAAATGAGGCAGCAACATACAAACTTTCTAGAACAACATGGACCTGAATAGCTGGTTTTTATGGAGGACAGTGAAGAGGAAGAGGGTGCAAATCAAACAGCTCATTCTCAGACTACACAGCAAACAGCTTAAGTTTTTAGTGCTTTGTTTGAGGTTTTTAGTGCTCTGTCCTATCTATTATCAACATATAATAGATAGAACAGAACAAGAAAGGCAATTAATAATCTGTCATTGCGTCACTGTATTATGATATGAAAGGCTCAGTACAGTGTGGCACAAAACGCTTATGCGCATCCCGAGTGGAGAATGATGCGCTTAAAGCCACATGGAGTTACAGCGCACAGCGCATCGAGTCCGCATTGATGCAAGCTCTACAATACACTTCTTTTCGACAGTCAAAGCGGGGGTTACGTTTTTGCACGTCGTACAGAATAACCCTAAAGGCACCAAGGTGGCGGCGCCACCGGCTTTATATTAAATATTAATATAGCTGTGAGCAGGGATAAAGGGCCAAAGCCGGCGGTACCACCATCCCGGTGCCTTTAGGTAACTAAAGGCATCGGGGTTGCGGTGCCACCGGCTTGGGCCCGCAATCGCTGCTCGCAGCTATATTAATGGTTAATATTGCCCGCAACCCACTGCACACTGGAGGCAGAGTTGGGTCGGAACAACAATGGTGAGAAAACTAAAACACCAGAAACGTTTAATGCTTGAAAATATATATATATATATATATATATACAGTATATACTGTATATATATATATATATATATATATATAGCAAGTGAAGGTCTCAAAAATTTAAGTGGATTTTCAACAATAACAGTATAACGTCAACCTACTGTGCTCTTTCCACGAGCCTGAGGCCTATTTTGAAATGAGCAGGTTGGATTTACCCAACACTGGCCTGTGCTATATAGAGTTGTCTCAAAAAGGTGCATAGATTTAGAATAAGAAGGTTTTATTTTAGAAAAAAAAGTACATGAGTATTCCTTTTAATAGGCATGTATTAACAGCATTAAATGCATCAAAAACATTTTCTACAACATGTTTCAGAAATTATAAATTGTGCTTATAACTGTAAAGTTTGTGTTTAAAAAAAAAAAACCCTGATCATTCAATTGACAAGCAATAAGTATATAGTTTGCGAATGCCTATGCTACGAAACAATATAAAGCAGTTACACAACAAAAGCGCTCTGTAAAGGGCATCTATGTAGACATAAGCCACTGGTTCTGATCTGTGTAAGATAAATAAATAAATGCAGATAAAACTTTTTTTGACAACTGAAGGGCAGTAGGTAATAATACAGTGAGCTATATTGTATTTGTCAGTGCACTTCTGAGCAAATTATGTAAACCTCAAAACTGCTCAGCAACCCTTAGACTGTCGAAATTACAAAGCACTTACACTGCATTTACATATAACGGGCTAATGTTTTATGCACATTAAGTTTTAGATGATAGCAGAAAACAGTATATTGTCATTTATTTGTTTTACCATTTACAAATAAGTTCATTGCAAGTTTCCTCAGAGATAGATAGCACAAAGAACTTGTTCCACAGATTCCAGAAGCTACCTTAAGTGTCACTTACAACAAATCTTTTAATTATGTTCTCCCTTATTTTTTGAGTTTTCACTCCATATATGATTGGATTTATAATTGGGGACAGAATAAGAACATACAATGATAGTATGACACGAACAGTGTAAGGCACATGACGCATATTGAATCGACTTTGGAACAATTCAAAGCAAACACCGATTAAAAAGTTTAGTAGTGCTATTAAGTGCGGGATACATGTGCTGAATTTAACTCGACCTCCTTTTGACAACTTCAAGCAGATAAAGATGATCCTCACATAAGTGTAGAAAATTGTGACAACCAGCAGGGAGGTAAGGGACATCATAAATACACCATATATATTGTTACTTAAAGTGTCAGAACATGCTAGCTTCACCACAGAAAAATTATCACAGTAGACTTTTTCAATTATTACTCCACAAATGTAAAGGTTCGCTGTAATTGAGATGGTGACAGTTGATCGCAAAAATGGCAAAAGCCAAGAAACTGCAACACCTATTGCCACTTTTTTAGGGGTGATTATTTTTGCATATTCTAAAGGATAGCATATAGATATATATCGATCATAAGCCATAACTGTTAAGTTTGTTAGGTCACAGCCACCATAGGTAAATAAACTAAAGATTTGCACAAGGCAATCAAGCCATGTTATTTGATAGTTTTCTGTAATAATTTTAGTCAAAATAAAAGGTGTAACAGCAGATCCGCCATATAAATTAATACATGCCAAATTGCAAATAAAGATGTACATTGGCTTATGTAGCCCTCTTTCAACACATATTACATAGATGAGTACACTGTTAGAAATTATCATGACTGGGTATAGTAAAGATAGCACAAATACAAAAATATATCTCTGGCCATATATTCCTCTGTATCCATCCAGTAAGAAAGAAATATTTTTCATGATAGCTTGATTTCCTAAATGAAGAGAAAAAAATAGAGGAGAAGGAAGCTTAGAGAAAAGAAAAGCTATTTTCATTTTTTTTTTACATATCATTCTGCACAAAATGTCAATGTGCATCTCAATACAATACGCTGTATACAATAAATAAATCAAAATATAACTTCAAATATATCTTGCTTAAAATATGAAATTAAAAAAGTGGCTTATGAATCGAGTAACACAAAATAACATATTGACAATTTTTCTTTAAAAATTCATTCGATGTACCTTGTAATTTTAGTGTATATGTATATTTCCTCTGTTTATGCAGAACGACTGCCTTCAACCTGAAACAGCTCTATTTATACTATGGCAGCTGGGGAAAAAGTGTTATGCAAATCTGTGATGACTAGATCACACACACAAAAACGCCTTTTATTCTTGTCATTACATTTGCTCTCCTCATCATCAACTTATTCCAATCATTAAGGGAAATAAGCTTTGTCAAACATGTATGTAGTTTTGCTGAATGTTTGGAATAAAGTGGAAAACACACAAAAAGCAACAATACAAAAATAAACCCTACTGTAACAGAGAATGCAAAAACAAAAATAGTACCCTGTAAAAATATAACATTAACATATTTCTATCCAAGATACCCTGCTGCAGCCTAGGCGGTGCTAACGCGGATGTTTTACATGTTTTAAATATATAAAATGCATAAATGGTCTTCATCATTGTATTTGTTATTAAATAAACTTACATTTCGCGGATTCCCCCTCTCATTTAAGTCCTGGGTTCACCCGTACTGCATGCTCATATATGTTCAGAGACGGTGCTATCACGCATGCGCAGTATCTCCAGCTCATCGGTTCTCCGTATCGAACGTGTCCGAAAGAAACAGTTCTCGGTTCTGTTCTAGTGATTCAAGAACTGCAACAACCAGTTCTCGACTCGAGAACCATAGCATAGGCTTGTGTGTGCTGAGCTGAAACCTGAATATACAGTCGACAAAACTAAAAAATCTATGCATGTCTGTCTCCAATATAGCCCTCTGTAGCCTATATACGTAACAGTATATATACATCATGTTTATAATGTGTTAACATAACGAATGTTTAATTCGTTATGTTAACACATTATAAACATTTTCTAAGCAGTGCACCAAAAACCTTGGCAAGAGTTTTTACAAAAAAAGATTTATATTGTTACTTTTAAAGAAATTAAATGAGCTGTTCCTGAAAATATTATATTAGTATAATAATAAATGTTTAGTTCACATTTCGTCCCTCAGAAAAAATGCACGCATTCTCAGCTCATCAACTCATCAGTTCTCGATATGTCGAACGTGTCCGAAAGAAATAGTTCATACTGGTTATCCGACCGCTGTACCTGTACGTTCGGTAGTACACGTATGCGCAGTATCAGCTGCTCGTGCTCATCACTTCTCTCAGCACCAACATATGTCTCCGTTCAGTAAACTTTTTGAGTTACTGGAATAAAATGTACTTCTGGATATTGGTTTATTTCGATTCGGAGGGACTGTCAGGCATGTCTGAAAGTGAGTAACCTTAGTAACTTGTGGTTTAGTGCTGACGCAAGACGCGAACAGTTTCGAACGATTCAGTACGATTTAGTGTACTGGTTCGACCGGTTCTTAGTGTAAGTGAGTCAGAAGGTTGGGGTTGAGGCTCAACAGAAGGTTGGGGTTGAGGCATAACGCCAAGAAGAGTGTGCTTTCTCCAGTACAGAGGACCACTTTTCTGGGTGTGGTTTGGGATTCGATGACGATGCAGGCACGTCTGTCGCCTGCTCGTATAGCTTCGATTCTCTCAGCTGTCAAGCAAGCAAAGCTAAGCCAGTCACTCACTGTGAAAGAATATCAGAGAATTCTGGGTCTGATGGCGGCAGCGTCCAATGTGTTACCGTGCGGCCTGCTGCACATGAGACCACTGCAGTGGTGGCTCAGGACCAAGGGGTTTTCCCCGAGGGGAAATCCGCTCCGCAAGATCAGGGTCACACGACGGGGTCTCCGTGCCCTGGCTATGTGGAAAGAACCTTGGTTCCTGCCCCAGGGGAAACTTCTTTCTTTGAGGGCAATTTATATCCCAGGATATTTAAATCAGGTAGCGGACATCCTGTCGAGGCAGGGGCCGAGGCCCGGGGAGTGGAGACTTCACCCCGAGGTGGTGGAGCTCCTATGGAGACATTTCGTTCGTGCCGAGGTAGACCTATTTGCATCCAGGGAAACAGCACACTGCCCGCTATGGTTCTCTCTAAATCCACCAGCCCCTCTGGGGTTGGATGCGATGGTACAGGAGTAGCCGAGGTCACCCCTGTACACATTTCCCCCGATTGCTCTGCTCCCAGGAGTTCTGGAGAGGGTTTGCCAAGACGGGGTCAGTCTACTGTTAGTAGCCCCGTATTGGCCGGCCCGAGTATGGTTTGCGGACCTAATTTCTCTCCTCGACGGTTCTCCTCTGGAGATTCCGATCAGGAGGGACCTTCTATCTCAAGCATGCGGGTCGATACTTCACCCCGCCCAGATCTATGGAAGTTGTGGGCTTGGCCTCTGAGGGGGCCCAGCTCATAGATTCAGGTCTCTCGACTGAGGTCGTGGAGACCATCCTCCAATCCAGAGCTCTGTCCACGAGGAGATTATATGCCTTGAGGTGGAAATTGTTCACCTCTTGGTGTGGAGAACACCAGTTTGACCCAGTTAACTGCCCGGTGTCGGCAGTGCTGGATTTCCTTCAGGAGCGTTTCTCCACAGGGTTATCCCACTCCACACTAAAGGTGTATGTGGCGGCCTTATCTGCTTACCACGTCCCTTTGAGTGGAGCTTCTCTCGGGAGACACCCACTTGTAATTCGTTTCCTTCGTGGTATCCTGAGGCTGAGGCCAGCAGTGCCACGAGGGTGCCAACTTGGGACCTAGCGGTGGTTCTAGAAGGGCTCTGTCTAGCACCTTTTGAGCCCATTGAAGAGGTTCCTGAGAAGTTTGTCACTCTAAAGACTACCTTTCTGCTAGCAATATCTTCCCTAAAGAGAATAGGAGATGTTCAAGCTTTGTCAGTTTCTCCCTCGTGTCTGGAGTTTTCTCCCGGTATGACAAAGGCTTTCCTCCTCCCTAGACCGGGATATGTTCCTAAGGTTCCAACTAATGTTGTTAGACCTATTGTGCTGCAGGCTTTCTGTCCTCCTCCATTTGTCATGTCAGACCAAGAGAAACTAAATCTGCTTTGCCCGGTGAGGGCTTTAGACGCTTACGTCCACAGAGCTGCCCTGTGGAGGAAATCTGAACAGTTATTTGTCTGTTTTGGACCTCCTAAGAAAGGTTGTCCCGTGTCTAAGCAGAGGTTGAGTAAGTGGGTGGTTGAGGCCATCTCACTTGCATATGAGTCCTCCGGTCAGCCTTCTCCCTTGACTGTCCGGGCTCATTCAACCAGGGGTATGGCCGCCTCTAAGGCGTTTTTGTCAGGAGTTCCTATTAATGAAATTTGTGATGCGGCAGGATGGTCATCACCGCACACATTTGTAAAATTTTATCATCTTGACTTTAGCTCCACTCCAGGGGCGCAGGTGCTTTCTTCAGAATGTGCCCTCTGATTTCATAAAACGGACACCTGCTCGCATGGCAGCGTTGGTGTTAGCGTTCCCATAGTGGTTACACGCAGCTTGAAGTTCCCTGAATGGGAACGTCTCTGGTTACGCATGTAACCTTAGTTCCCTGAAGGGAACGGGACGTTGCGTGTCCATGCCATACTCCCAGCATGCCCGTGAGCACTTGCTTCAGTCTTATCAGAAGATGTCGTGCTTGTGTTTTCCTGGTCGATACGTCACCCCACCTATGACGTTCCGTCTTGCAATTGGACTGATTTCATACGTGCTTCATGACGCATTCACGCAGGGGCGTTCCCATCTCGTTCCCTTCAGGGAACTAAGGATACATGTGTAACCAGAGAAGTTTTATTGCTGTTAAAATACATTTTGTGGGTGTGTCTATTTATCTTACACTGTTAAACCCTCTCAAACCCACATGAAAATTCACACTACAAAGCACAAAAATTAACATTGACGCAGTGTTGCAATGAGATAATTAAGTGAATATGTAAGTTATTGTTGATCATTAGTGATGAACACCTGTTGTTAACAAGCAGAATCACCAAGGAAAGAGTAACACAAGAACAGAAAATAGAGAAACACAAGAACTACAACTGAATTCCAGCTATTACACATAACCAGTATGACTTTATTTCTTTCATTAATCTACAGAAGATGTGATTGCTTTAATTGGGATTGCTTTAGTGATTGCTGACCCTTGACTTTTTAGCATTAGCCATTAGCTATGTTTTTCGCAAGCTACGCATGTGCATAGACACATGGTTTGTAAGTGCAGTTTGTTCGAATGACAAAATCATAATTTACTGTTCACTCCTTAATCTCATTCAGAGTTTAATTCCGTTTCAAAAAAGTGTTATATTACCGCTACTGGGAAGGAGCACAGTAGTGAGTCACAATGATGATTTTTATTTATTGTTTTACATATCATGCAAAACCAATGAAACAGAGCTACATTGTCTTGTAGAAACACAGATATATATACTGTGTATATATATATATATATATATATATATATATATATATATATATATATATATTCAGCATGTCTCTCAACAATGGTGGCAATATTAATTAATTAATTAATTAATTAATTTGTTTATTTATTTATTTATTTATTTATGCAGCAGTGTATGCAGGAAGTTTTATACTATCCTGGAACCCAGGATGCATTGTGACGTTAAACTTTTATGTTGTCACCATTGTTAAGATTCATTTACTGATTGTTGATGACTGTGTGTGTCTGAGTCAGTTAGGAGGTCAGAATATTTTAGAGCACTATATGATTTCAATATTCTCCAGAATAAATGTTTACAGTAACATTGCTGGATTTTTTGATGAAGATTAACAGATATATGATAAATGTTAAATACCCATTAATTTAAATCTTATATACAGAATAGAATCAGACATGTCTAGGATGATTATGGCATTATCACAACATCCAAAACCACCTTATAAACTTCTATTTGCTTTATATATTCACACTTAGTCAGAGATAAACTAATGTTGAAAAATCAAGGGAAAAATGTATAAACTGCTTTTTAATGTCTATTAATGCTTTATGAATGATGAATTAATGGTTTACTCATACTTAACTAATTATTATTAGCGTGTAGTTATTATAAAGTGTTACCGTCAGTTGTAGTTTCTCTGTTTTCTGTTCTTGTTTTTTGTCCTTCAGTGATTCTGCTTATCAGGTGTTCATCAGTTTCTCAATTAACTCACTTCTCATTCAAGTGGACTGTTTTAGTGAACTAATGTAGGGAATATTGAATGAAGGTATAGGGTATGATTTTGAGCATAGCAGTGTTAATTCACAGGCTTCTTCTTGTAGGTTTTTTTCTCGAAAATGAGAAATATCCAGAATGCATTGTTTTCTAAAGTAGATTACTGTTTTAATGGAAAATGGTAACTAATAAACCTTTTTTTTCAGCAAGGGTTAACAATGTAGAGAAATCATTTACCTGGATCCATTTATAAAACGGAGAATTGTTTTGCGAATATCAGGCAGGTTTAAAGCATAAACAAGAGGGTTCAGGATGGGTGCTATAACAAGAAATTCAAGTGAAATTAAAACTGACAGCCATATAGGAAGTTCTAAGGTGACAACTCGACTCAAAGTGACCTCAGAAATAATAGCAATTGAGAAATTCAAAAGGACCACTATGTGTGGAATACAAGTTTGATAAGCTTTGCCTTTGAACTGTGATGAGCTTCTTTGACATACAATAAGAATTTTTACATAAGAATATAATATTAAACTTAAAGGAATAATTACAGTTGTGATCAATATAAAAAAACCCATGACATTATTTACAGCAGTGTTTGCACAAGACAGTTTGACCATTTCAAAGTTGTGGCAGTACACCTTAAACAATTTGTTACCACACAATGTCAGTCTGGAAGTCAAAATACCAGTAATACCAAGAGAAATCATTGGATAAGTCAAGTTTATAACTATCAAAACAGTTAGAAACCTTGGTGTAATTATGTTGTGGTATTGCAAAGGTTTACTGATTGCAACGAATCTATCAAATGCCATTAACATTAATATTGTATTCTCATTTGCTGCATACGTGAAAATGACATAAGACTGTAAGATACATGCTTCACGGGAGATTGAGTGTGTATCAGACAGCAAGTCTGTCAATGCTCTTGGGAAAAAGCCAGCTGTTCCAAACACAGAGTTGACAGACAAACAAGAAATCAGAATGTACATGGGCTGGTGTAAAGTCCTTTCCAGATAAATTGCAAGCATAATAATGACATTAAAAAGTGTGATAGCACAGTATAGAATAAATCCCAAACTGAAGAAAGCATATCGAATGAACCCAAGATTTTCAAATAACATGAAGTAAAAATATGTTCCATTTTCCATTTTCTGATAAGCAAAGGTAACCTTCATTCACCTGAGTTAAGACAACAGACAAAGATCTTATGATTTATACACATTTTAAAAACATGACATGAGCAATATGTTATGCATATGATTATATTTTATTCTACATTTACAGATTCAGTAAGATTAAATTTATTAGTTTGTGATTAGTTAGTATGTGATATATTGTCAGTTTAAAAGTATATTCAAAGATTCAACAACTTTAATCTATTTTTTTCAATCAATATCAGAAAAAAATGCAATCAGTATCCTAAAAAAGACATTGTACAATTTTAATACCTTCTCTAATGCACCTTGAAATGACCACCAATGCTTACTCATTTATTGTGAATGACTGAGTTACCAGCACACGTTGCTTTTTTATACATCTACTGTAACATGTCTCAGGAGCCTCTGCTGGCTCATTTTGCATAAAGGACACAAAACCTTATTGATTTGACTTCCCTTCAACACATAATAATATTTAATCATTTCTGAACATTGACTCTCAGACTTTATTCGCCTTTTTATCCTGTTTTCTCAATAGAATTCATAAAAGTATAGAAAAGAAAAGCAGTTTATAGGGGCACATTCAACAGTGTTGTTGCCAGTAGTTTACTGTAATATATATAGCTTATAAATATAGCTTCCTCATTCACAAATCTCATTCAGTGATTAGTTTTCTGTCAAAAGAGTTACACTACCATCACTTTGAAACTACAGTAATGGAATTATAATGACTTTTTTAACACATGCACAAAAAAAAAATACAGAGCTACACTGTCTTGTAAAAACACAGATATATCAAACATATTTATTCGTGCAGCAGTTCATAATGGGAGTTGTATACTATCCTCGAACCCATAATGCATTATGACATGAAACCTTTGATTGTCACCATTGTTGAGATTAATATTGTAATTGTTGATGTCTGTGTGTCTGAGTCAATGTTTTAATGCACTATAATTTTACAATATTCTTCAGAAGGCCTGATAACAGAAATATTGCTGGATTTCATTTTGAAGATTCACATATATATGAAATACCCATACATTTAAAGCTTATTCACAAGACAAGATCAGAGAATCATACATGTCAAGGATGATTATGGCATCATCACAACAGCAGCCAAAAACACCTGATAAAATTCCTCTTTACTTTTTCTTGCCATAATTAGTGTGGTCTATAAACTGTTACAGCAGCCAGAGAGAAACGAATGTTATAAAGTCAAGGGTCAAGAGACCAACTAAAGCAAATACTGATCTCCATCATGGTGACAACAAACTTTATTATTAACTAAATCTCTTAATTTTTAATTCTCAACAAAAACGTTTGTACATGTATGAAAGAAATAATGTTACTCTGGTTTGTAAACTGTTTTCACACTCAGTGTTGCTGGAAGACAGTTGTAGTTCTTGTGTTTCGCTTTTTTCTGTTCTTGTTTTTCTGTCTTTCAGTGATTCTGCTAGGGGTGTAACGGTACATGTATTCGTATTGAACCGTTTCGGTTCGAGGCTTCCGGTTCGGTACGCATACAAACCGAACGATTGCTTGGACCATTTTTCTTGCCGGCAAAATTCGTGCTGACGCGGCCAACACAACGTTGCGCAACATCCAAATGGCAAGGGTAATGAAAGCAGAACGAAACTGCGCTCCTCGTTATGTACTTCACGGATCGTTTATCAGTTCGGACCAGCAACATCTGTGCAGCGCGAGCCGATCTCGATCAAGCAACACTGTTACCACACCGCGCTAAGAGATCCGGTAAAGAAAACATTTGAATTCGCCACTGAGGTAATAACATCGCTGCGAGATCTAGTGAGATGCATTCACATTTCTCCGTTATTAACCGTAGATCTCTATTAGATCAAACAGCGCTGTCATGGAAACCAGGAGAAACATTGTGCCGTGAATGAACTAGTACTTTACGTCCACAGACCAGCAACATTCACCATGGATTTAATATAGTAACACTAACTGGAACTGTTTTGGCTGGAATAGTGAAATGCTTTCAAGTACTTCACACATCTTTTTCCAGCATTTCAAAATTCAAATATTATATAAATAAATATATATTTAAATGTTATTTTTAATGTGATGACCAAAACATTATTTGTTCATCCTTCAAAGATGACCCCTATTTATAAACCTGAAAGTTTCAAGATCTAGGAAAACTCACACTTATTTAAAATATTTTTTCTTTAAACGAATAGGAAATTTCTCTGGCATTTCTTTCTTTTTGCTGTATCGAAAACGTACCGAACCGTGACTTTAAAACCGAGGTACGTACCGAACCGTGATTTTTGTGTACCGTTACACCCCTAGATTCTGCTTATCATCGGTTAATCAATTCACTCACTTCTTTTCAGTCAAGTGGACCATTTAAGTGAACTAGTGTAGTGAATAGTGAATGAGGGTATAGGGTGTTGATTTGGAACACACCTTCTAAGTGTCAAATTTGAGCGCTGTTAATTTCTGTAGGCTTTTTTCTTCTCAAATATAACCCAGAATGCATTGTTTTCTGTATGATATAGTATGATACAATGACTTTTTTACAGAAAGGGTTTAACAGTGCTGCTAATGTCTTCTGCTAGTTATCGAAGTATTAAAGAGGAGCTTTTCCCCCAAAATAAACGTAACAATATCCTTTTTATTTTACCATTTATGACTCAAACATCTCCTGATGAGCATAATGACAGCTTGTCCGCTCACAGTGGCTGCACCTATAAGTCTGTATCCTATTTTTCCTATTTTCTGTTGGGTCGGGCTTTTCCCGCGCTGTCTGCGGATGTGACGTCAAGCGTGTTCTGATGGCTGAAATGAGTCGGCTTTGTTCAGCCCGATTCGACATGTTGAATCGGCGTCGGGCTGTCAGGGAAAGAGATAACTCTGATTTGCTGTTCAGCTTTTTTCCTTTTTGAATGACGAATTTAGACTAATATTTCTGCAGAAATAGACAGTTGGCTCATTAAACGCAGGCGCAGAACACACATTATAGCTGACAGTCGCCTGTAGTTCTCTCGGTGTGTTCAAGTGCAGCTTTTTACCCCGACGAGAGCGGGAGAGCGGACGAGAGGCGACAACACAGTCGGTTTTCATCGGCATTAGTTTGTCGGCGTCGGTTTGGTGTGTTCCAGGCTTTAAACGTTTCAGATCACTCTGCCACCACTGCTAGTCAGCAAGTAGCCTACACTCACAAGCAGAACACTTATCTCAAACAATATATGTATTTGACTGTTCTTACCTCTGTAAACATAATGTTGACCTCCTTGCAGCAGATGACTTGTGAAGTGTGCACGTACGAGCACGCGCTGCGAGAGCGGGCAGAAAGGAAGAGCAGTTCTGTTTTTTGGCCACAGGTGTCAGTTGCGAGTTTAAATTTCAGGAAAACGCATGTAGCCTCTTTAAATAAGTATATCAACTGTTAAATAACATATTGGAGATTAAAATAATATCAGATTTGTTCATTTAAAAATAAACACCAAACGTAGGGATTAAAAATTGACATAAGTAAGAAATTTACTTTTGCTATGGTTAAATAAATGTTCAGTGATATCTTTACCATATCAACTAGTAAATTTACTAGTTGCCATATATCATATTTCTACACTAAGTTTTGTCATGCTATGTGAGGAAGTATTTAAAACAAGGGTGTTACAACTAGCCCCCACTTGATGTTGTGCCCCGCTCTCCCCTTCTTAAAATTGTGTTTGCTGAAGCTCAAACATCCTGCGTAACAAGAATGAAAAAATAGTGGTGACAAATAGCAATAATTACACATTATTTGACAGTTTATTTTGTTAAATACTAGTGCAATTCAATGGATTATTTGTGTGCCTTTAAGTGGGCTATCAACATTGATGATAGACAATTCTCGTCGCTTGATAAACTTATCGTTGAGCCACTGTTGTCACATGGAATATTTAAACATTTTCTTCATTGACTTTCTGGGTGGTCAAGTTTCGATCCCTTAGGCAGCCTATGTAGCAGTGATCCACCTCTCAAATTTAATCAAAAATATCTTCATTTGTGTTCCGAAGACGAACGAAGGTCTTACGGGGTTGGTACAGCATGGGGCTGAGTAATTAATGACTTAATTTTCATTTTTGGGTGAACTAATCTTGGTTTGTACATTCTTCAAATAGAAATACATCTTCATTTTCTGCCACTGTTGTCATGAGCACGTATGTCACCACTGTTGTCATTGTCATCTCTGTGTCATGTTTGACCTTCCATTGAAATGATGCAATCTTCTTTATTTACAACACCACTCATAAGCCTCACTGGAACTGGCCTTTTGACCAAAGGGACTTAATTAAAGTGTTGCAATGTCTAATTAAACCTGAAGGTCAATTTATCTTGGCCCTCTGGAATATGTGGTGGGTGTTTTCCTGTGATGGCCAAGGGACAATATTGAGAATGGAAGAAGTAATGACCTGTTAATAACATGTTTTTCTTTGTTACAGCATTTGCTGATAAACTATGGCCTATTAATGTTGTGATCTGAATCTATCTCTAACAAATGTAACCTTTAATTTTAATTGATCTAACATCCAATATCAATTATTAAAGAACAGTTAAATTGCTAAATAAAATTACAGGAATCTTTTTCTCCAAAACATGTGCCACAGTTAATAGCACCTAGGGCTGGGCGATATATCGAGTATGTACGATGTATCGTTATATTTTTGAAACGATATGGAATGAGGCAATACCGTTTATATCGATACAGTAGTTTGATATGAGCACATCTGAAAAATAGCGGAGGTTGCAATGTGAGCTGCTGCAGTGAAAGTAGCTAGGCAACGTAGTACAATTTGTCCTAAACATGACACAAGCTTATATTAATTGCGTCAAAATCACTTTGATATAGTTAACAAGTTTAAGGCAAATGCTCTGACAGACACTGTTGCTGACTGACAGATATACTTGCGCTGTTTAATGCGTTTGAGATGTGGTGCTTTCCTCAGTGCTCAACTTACATTTCACAGGTATATTCTCCATCTGTAAATGTTAGAAAGTAAAGCAAATATGTCCATGTCAGAAGAGGACGAGCTTCTGCAAGTGAATCTCCGCTAAAATTCATGCTTCCTTGAACGAGCGCCGGCGCGCGCATGCGCGTGAATAGTACTACGTAGTACGCAATAATTCTGACTAAAATAAACATATTGCTAAAATATTTGTTGTTGGAGAAAATAAATGTGCCATATGTGGAATTTTAAACCTACAAGTATATATTTTTAATGAAAGTGATTATAATGGGGTAATCAAATGCAGGCTAATATAATTAGTTTGTGCTTTTGTTTTTATTTTCATTTTTAGTTTA